GTGAGGGCAATGTAACGGCCAGTGCTTTTTGTTCTGAGATTGAAGGTCCTCATGAACCTCTCGGTTGAGTGAGGGGCCTAAGAGATTATCTACATGTTAGAACACCCCTCTCTATCTCATTGATTCTACCGAGGGGTTCTTGTGATTCTAAAGTACTGGGGTTAGAGCGAGTGACGGGACGGAAGTTGTGGACGGGGTGGTTGAGAGCTGGGGTCTGCATACGAGAGGGGTCCGAGGTTTCTTCGATTAATGGGTGTGAAGTATCGATTGATGTGGGAGGGAGTTACACATCGCTCATGCGCGTCCAGCGGCCTGTGCCTCGTTCGTTCACGACTGATAGGTTGAGTTGCGACATGAAAGGACATTTTGACGTGAAAACGTCTTTACCCAGGCTCGGGTGACCTGTTCGATGTACTTCGTCATCCAGATAGCCATAACTTGTCGCACTTTGCGGTCTTATATCTCGATCCTCATTCACGCTGGCCGCAAACTGATTCCTGTATCGAAAGGGGAATTTCCGGGATTCCACTCTGAACGAGATCCTGTCGTGAAGCGCTACATGGTTGCTCCATGATTTCGGTTTTTCTACATACCCCTCGATCAAGCTTGGAATCTGATGAATAATAGTGAATTCTAGGCTTCTCGTGGGGTTTTGAGAGGAGCTCGATATATGGAGCTCGATAGAGAGAAAACTGACAAGATGCAATAGTTCTACTCGATTATTGAGGCGAGGTTCTCTAGACATTCCCTCGAAACTCTTCATTTCCGAAGCTCCCCCAATGTGGAATGATTCGGTCGACTAAACAATGAAGTTTGCCTGAAAACGATGTCTTTGGACCTCGAGAGTCTGTCGAATCGTAATCGAAAGGTTCCTTATCTGGGAACGCTGGTCTATAATGAGATGTTGCTTCATCAGTAAAACAATGCTGTATCAATCCTTTCATCCGAAGAATGTCGACGTCATTCTCATACGGGTCTGCGCCTTGCGCGTCAACTCCCTCGCTCTACGACCGTCCGATTTGGAAGCAAGCTCACACCAAGCCACATCACGAAAGTGATTGCACGGAAAGCTATCGCTCGTCCGGTTCTCACGAGGTAGAATCCTCGCGAATTCACCAACCGGAAACAACTTCGCCACCCATAACCATCCACATTCCAACTCACTATGGATTCCATGTCCGTCGATGCTGAGTCTAATCAAATTATCCGATGAACGACAACAACAGTAACCGCGACCTCTCATCAGCTGCAAGGAGGAATCCGCATCAAAAACAGCACTGGACCGAAATCAATCTAGCCCATGCGGTCGAATAAGGAGGACCAATTATCCGCCGGCAGTCTCGATTGAGGTCTTCAAAATGTGGCGTCCTCCAGGCAGCGAAATCTTTCCCGGGAGCTATAGTAGGCATCGGATTATCACAATTATTCAGTGGTGGAGTTTCGAGAATAGGGGATTCAAGCATCATATTCAATTCGAAGTCTGATACTCGTATCTGAATTATTCGGTCCTCAATGACCTGCAGTATTACTAGAAACACAAAGCCATTTGTCGCCCGCTCCAAACATCGTATCCACCTAAATAAGCATGCTTCGAGCAGCAGATGCACCTAACCGGACAGCCGGAATCTCCGTCTAACAATCTAGACGTCTCCCTCTCATATTTCTGCTCCTCCTATCCGTACCATCGCCCTGATTCAAATTGTGGTTCTCTTTCAGACTCAGCGAGTTTCTCGGAGGAGAAGGATCTCGAGCCCAGAGGAAGCCTAGAACAATTGCTTCTCAAAAGTTTTTCATGGTGATATTCTTAGCTGAAAGCTTCGAAATGATCGAGAGCGAATTGAAAAGAGCCGGATTCAGTGAGAAGGGCCTCGAAGACGACCTTGTGGTACGGCATGTGGATCTCACGATCCAGTTTGCGATATCGCCGTTCGCTATGTGCTGGTAGATCAGCTTGATTTCCCGACGAAACGAAGCTCCATTATCTGAGAATAAGCTCTTCGCCGTTGGTCGTCTGGCGAGGAATTTCTGTAGCGCTCTGAGCACCACATAGGTTGAGAGATCGTATGTCATCTCTAGATGCACAGCCCGGGAAACTGCGCATGTGAAAAGGAGGATGTACGCCTTCGTTTCCGCGCCGAGTTCCGATCTGCAGTGGAGAGGCCCGGCAAAGTCTACTCCGCAAAGGAAGAATGGGGGTGTTTGTTCAATCCTGAAGGAGGGTAGGGGCGGCGTGATTCCTGCTGCCGGCATGGCGGTAAAACGTTTGCATCTCTGACAAGATTTCAACGCGTCACTCGTAAGTTTCCTACCCTTCAGCATGAGGAATTTGCTCCGAATCTTCTGTAGGGTGAGCGGACTCCTCCCCAATGCCAACATTGGTCAGAGTGGATCGACAGTATTAGGAGTTTGGCCCATCCCCCCTCGCTTGGTAATATAACCGGGAACTTCTCGTCATAGGTGAGGTGACTAGATCGCTCCACGCGAGACCTGCAGCGCATCAGACCCCTCAGGTCGAGGAACGGCGCGAATTGGTGTAGCACGTCCGATTTCGGAACACTCAGCCCCGTATCCGGAATAACCTGAGCGAAATGTTTTCGCTGGATTCTGATGAGCAATGCTATCTCCGCCGCTTCGTATTCCGACGCGAGTAATCCGAGTCCCTTCGGGCCGTCCGCCGGGTTCCTTCGGAGAATTGTTGTTCTGTTTCTCGACGGATAGCAACTCTGTCTCACTCTAAGTGAGAAACTCTTGAGTCTATTACAGACTGCTTGAGCTCTCACTAGTTTGTGCCATGATGAGAAACGATCGACGCTCAGAAATTCGTCGATAATGTCGTCATTTCGTCTGACCAACAGGCACTGGGCTGGTTTCGCTTTCCTTTCCTCGTCGATGTGTTCTATCTGTGGGCCGTTTGGATCTGCTTCCCAATCGATGTCACTCAGCCAAGCTGGTCCGTGAAACCAGAGCTGTTTGATTGGTGGATCAGAGATATCCAGGCCTCTCGAGACGATGTCTGCCGGATTGTCTTCCGATTTTACGTATCGCCAGTCGGAGGCGTCCGACAGCCTGTGGATGTCGCGTATCCGATTCGCTACGAATGCGTTCCAGCGGTCGGGGTCGCTGTTGATCCACGGAACGCCAGCCATGTTGTCACACCAGGAGAATTTTCTGTCCACCCTGAGCTTGATGAACTTCGAAACCTGATCTGCCATTTTTGCCGTCAGGAGTGTACCCAAATCGATGGATGGACCATTTGCATTTATTCGGAGCCACTCGAGCTTTAGCCATGAGGAAGCGCGTTTCCGCTGTTCTCTGGTGGATCGTCCTCAGGTAGATCACGCACCCGTAGGCTTCCATGCTTGCATCCGAAGAAGCGTGTAGCTCGTAACGATCAGCCGCAAACTGACCCGTAATACCTCTCGGCACACTCGTGAGAGAATTATTTCGCAACAACTCGACGAACTTTTCGTATTCCAGATTGATCTCCCTCGGCAGCGTGTCGTCCCAGTCTACCTTCAGTCGCCAGAGCCTCTGAAACATCGCCTTCGCCCGAACGGTCACTGGAGCCAGGAGTCCCAGGGGATCGAAAACCGTTGCGAGACCCTTTAGTAAAGAACGTCTCGTCGGTATCTCCCCCCCGAGTGCCGTTAAGGCTTTGACCACGCTGACTCCGATCTCATCCTTGCCTTGCACCCATTTAACTCCCAGGAATTTGGCATCCGATTTATCGTTCGTGATCTCCGTGCTTTCCAGTGGAGACATATTCCGGACCATTTCTGCTATTTTCGCGTCGCTTGTCGCCCACTTCCTGAGCGGGAACTTCGCAAGACCGAAAATCTTGAAAAGCAAACCGATCTTCCTCTCCGCATCCGGCAATGAGTCTGCTTGAAATGAAACGTCATCTATATATAGATCCTCGGACACCTCCTCTATGAATGCGGCGTGTTCTGGGAATTGACGTTTACATTTTCCCAGATGATATCTAACCCCCTTGATGTGTAGCCACGGAGAGCAGATGAGGCCAAAGTCGAGAACTCTGGTCCAGAACTCCCTCACCGGTGCTGCGGGGTATCGCTGTATGCCTAGAGGCCACAGGAAGCGCGGGAAGGGTCTGTTACTCCCCGCAATCTCGAACTGTAAGAACGCCTTCTCAATGTCGGCCGTGATTGCGTAGCGACCGCTTCTGAATGAACACAGGATCTTGATCACGTTAGGGAGTAGATTCTCCCCTTGATGCAGACAGTCGTTCAGAGATGGTTCGTCTCTCATTCGCGCGCCCGCATCTTTGACGACTCGTGTTTTGATTATCTCCGAGTTGTCGTTTTTGAACTTGAATACTGCTTGCAGGGGTAGGTAGTGGGCCTGCTGACCCTCCCGTCTCGGGGTCGCCTCTTCTGCGTAACCTCTGTCTAGATACGTCTGTATCTCCGCATCGACCGCTGCCAACTGCAGGGGTCTTTTCTTCAACTTCCTGATGAACAAGTACAGACGAGATCTGAGTAATTGCTCGTTATCTCCTAGGGACGCTATGTTGTCCTTGAAGGGTAGCGAGAGAACGTATCTACCATATTCCTTACGACGTATGGTATTCTCGAAGAAATCGTTCAGTTCCCTATTTAAGGAGTCCTCTTCTTCAGTGACATCGCTCACTCCGAGGAATTCCGCGTCCCATAGAAATTTCAGATCTTTCTGTAGGGAAGACTCTGACATCTTTTCCGACGGGGTGCTGCCTGAATTCATCAAACAGTGTGCCGCTAACACACTGGGTCGATGTGCTGGGAATGGTCTCGGCAGTGAGGATCTCAACTCGCACATTAGCGCTATGTCCTCCGCTAGGGTACCCGAATTGTTCGTAGGGCCCGCGAATAGCCAACCGAAAATTGTCGATGTCGCTAGAATTCTCCCGAAGCTTTATTCGGTGCCGGTGTGAATAGCAGCCAAAGCGTCGTTGCCAATGAGCATCGACAAGGTCGTCGGATTCCCCTGCACTCCCGACGGGTCGGCGACCGGAAATAGACCGAAGTTTTCTCTAACCGTAGGATATATCGAATCCGTTATGGTCGGCACCTCTACACACGAAACTCTTACCGACTTCTTTCGATCAAATGCGCTTTCGAGCGTTACCGAGTGTCCGAAAGTATCCATGGTATTCACGACGTTTCCCATAGTTTTCACTGTAGAGTGAATCGGGTG